TAGAATAGTGGTTTGGCTTAAGGGAAGCCATTTCTGCATCCAAATCTGTCAACAGAACACAAGGTACTTTTACACTTTCTGTATGTCATACCTTAGTTGTACAAATGTCCCTTTTTGATAGCTTGGATTTTTACAGTACGTATCTGTAAATCAGTTTTTGTAGACTTGTAATACATGTCCACTGCCTTTGTAGAACTGATAATCGCTGAAAATTGAATGCTTTAGCTTGTATCATAGTATTCATGGAAAGCAATAAATGCTCAAATTTAAAGTGTGTTAATATTAATATTAAGGAGTTGTTGTTTTTTTTTTTGTTGCAAATCCAGTTACATTTCATATCGGCAGAACAATGAATTATGGGAATTACCTTTTAGCCACGCTTGAGGTGTGTCTCTCGAAATAGCAACCTATTAATAGCGATATGGGTGACTCCTACCTAGTCTGTGATTTCTTAATTATAAACAGGGGGAATGGTCTTAACCCTGTATTAAAAACTATCTGTAGTCATGTCTCTCCTAAAAGATGTTGTTACAGAGGTGGCTCTGGTCTGGGCGTGTACTTTCAGCAGTGCAGACGCTACTGAATGATCATAGAAATACTATGGGAATACTACAGGCCGCAGTGTGTCTCTATGATCTGCTCGCTTTTCTCAGACTACATGTTTATACTTACCACTTTGATCATGACAGTGATACCATTCTATGTAGTATAAAGGCTACAATGTAGTATAGAATTGAGTATTTATAATATATAATTTAGAAAATATTATAGATCCAACACGTAACTGACAGAAGGGCGGGTCTGAGGAAAAAGCGTAATTAAAAATCTGCTACTTCAGCACCATGGACAGTGCCATGGATTTTTCAATAGACAGCACACAGCCATAGAGTGTAACCTACACAAACCTCATTCAGATAAAGGATCAATGAGTCTGGCAGAAACAACCCCTCTGCCAAGGAGAATGTATTTTGGTCATGGAATGGCATCCTCCCTAAAATCATCGAATGCTCCTACCCATACTTCGAAAGATCCTCTTGTCAAACCCTAAGTCCATGACAGTACACCTCTGAAACTAATGACCAGATTTCTGTCTTCAGCTGTACTTTGACTATAATGTTGGCATGAAGTGCTAACATGCTGATTGTACACCATAACATTCACACACTAACATGCCGACATAAGCCAAACATACTACATTATTAGCCATTTAGTATTTCAAGTTAGTAAGCTAACATGCTTAACATTCACTACATTCAAAGTATTAGCATGGTAGCGTGCTTTTAAATCTTTTTAGATCTAAAATGTTTTTTGTCATGTTAGTGGCATGGCTCCAGACTCCAGACTAAAATATCTTGATAGATCACCATAAAAATGTTTACTGATATTCATGGTAGCCAACGGGGTGAATCCTACTGACCTTTGTGAACCTCTGACTTTTCCTCCAGGGCAACCCTGAGTTTGTCATTTGTAGTTAAGACTGAAAAATATATATATAAAAATAATAATTTAAGAAATAAGAAAAATTAGATGGGTTGCCATTAAATTTACAACAGATAGAAGTTAAATTCTCATGACTTTGGCTGGCCTCTGAGTTTGAGAAAGTCTGAGTTTTCATTCATGCTGTGATGATTCTCAGCATCTACTTGATGGATTGACACATAATTTGGTAGAAACATTCATGGTTGCCTGACAGTGTATTGACTTGGGTGATCCTTTAACTCTTCCTTTAGCACCACGATGAGGTTGACGTTTTAGTTCTTTACTGAAATATCTCAACAACTATTGGATGGTTTGCAGCAAAATTTGGTACACACATTCTGGTCCCCAGAGGATTGATTGTAATAACTTAGATCTCCTGACTTCTCATCTAGCGCTATCATCTGGTCAAAATTTCACTTCTAATACTTTCGTTTATGCACAAATACTTACAAAAGTCTTGACATTCTCCTCAGCCTCAGCTAAACTTTGTCTTTAGTATGAATTACCAAATTTGTACATGCTAACATGCTGAACCAACACAGTTGGTGGACAATGGTGTGGGCATTTAGCTCAAGTACAGCATCACAGAGCTGCTAGCATAGCTGTAGAGTCTTGTTATTTTACTGAGTCAAAACACAGAGGAAGTATAAGTGTTATGGAGATTACACAGGAGTGAAAATTACTTGGGACCAGTCCTATAAATGTAAATGCAAATACAAATAAACTAGAGCCGCCCTAAGTATAGGAATGCCACTTATGTAAGATGATTGGATGGAGGAAATATGGGTGAGATTTTAAATATCTCTTGTGTAAGAACAGAGTGTGGATCATTTTAATCGTGCGAGGATAACATCCAGTGACACTTCAGATGGCCTTGACACTTCTAAGCTAAGATTATCACTGTCCCTGTTGTCAGCACATATCGCTGACATATAAGGTATTGGGCCAGGCCAAGATTTCACCTGTAAACAATGGCTATGGTTACCACTAACACTGGCACTGTTATACCAATGAAAACATGCATTTATTTCCCTTTTTCCATGGACCCTATTCACTTCGTAATCCTTAAACAAGGCCTAGATGTTTCCACCCATTTCCCAAATACAATTGCCCTCTTGATGCCTAAATTGTAATGTAATGTCCGTTCATTAGTGAATTTAGCTGCAACACATTTATTATAGGCTTCAGTGATACTGAAACAGGCATGTAAACAATAATCAGGGTAGCGGTAAATACCCCAAAGGTCAGAGCATTCATGAGTAACTAAACACTTGGTCTGTGTGAGTCATCAGACTGGTCAGGAACTTCCGGGACTACTGGTAAAGATTACTTAAAGGCGTACATCAGTGATTTAGTATTGCACCACCATTAAGGGACTAAGAAGAGACAGATTAAGAAGAACTGTCAAAATGTAAGCAGCTGTGCCTGAGATATCCTGATTTTTATAATGGTCTATATTATAGTAGTCTATAATGGGTGAAGCTCTGCCAGAAATTATGAATACTACATTTCCCATAATGCAACTACTAGCATCTTTTCATTAAAAACAGACCTTAATCTTGAGGTTTCTTTGAGTGTTTTACCTTTACACACACGTAAATAGTTTGAGTCATACCATGCAAACATTCATACATACAGTGATGACTGTGCTGTTAATAAAATGTCTATTATACAACAGAGGTACTTGAAACCTATTATTAGGGAGTGTGTTTTTACATAGCTAACATACAGTGCAGGCCACAGGGAAATCCTTTAATGACCTGTCTGTGAGATAATTGATTTTGACAAGTGCCCATTTCTAATCCCTTATCATGTGATCCGTATCCGTCTGTATCTCATCCTCACTTTCAGATGGGATTTGCCGCTATAGAGAGCCCAATAACAATTCAGCTTGTATGGACTTTGGTGTAATTTTGATGATTTTGGTCTTTGCTGATTGGCTTCAGTAGTTAAGGACTATCATTCCAGGATTTTGTAATGTAGAGGGAAGCTTTGAAAGCATTACCCAGATCAAATAGTTTCGTGTAATGTAAGAAATAATTTCAGTCTTTGGGAAATAGAAGAAAAGAAATTCCACAATGGGTCAGCGCCTGAGTGAGGAGAGTGACCCAGACAAGGAAATTGATGTGGCAGAGCTGCAGGAATGGTACAAAAAATTTGTTGTGGAATGTCCGAGTGGAACTCTCTTCATGCATGAGTTCAAGAGCTTTTTTGGCGTCACTGATAACAAAGAGGCTGCAGATTACATTGAAAACATGTTTCGAGCCTTTGACAAGAACGGCGTAAGTACAGACTTCTGTTGTGTGGACGTATGAGCTTAACACAGTCATTTGTCTTATTATAGTGTTGGCACTACACTTGCCACAGTAGTAGTGAGATTCGTTAATTGCAGTTAAAGCCTATTATTGAGCGCATCATTTTAGAGCTGGAAACAGATAGTTTTGATAACAATTGGGTATGTAAGGCAAAACAAATTTACAGATTATAAAATATGTATATTTGTTTTTGTTTTTTATTATTCTCTATAAAAGTAATTTATTTTCTGACAGGTTGTAGCATAAATAATGAACTGAGAAAATAATTATTAGTCGCTATCCTATTATTGTTTCCTAGTAAGAAGACTCTTTGTATTCTCTCTAGTAAATTACAATACAGGCATTTAGAGACTCTCTAAATTCTGTAAAGTCTATTGCTGTACAGACATTTTGCCTGTCCGATAAAACCCATAAACTTCCCCTAAGTGGCCCTTTATCACATTGTAACTCTTTCTCTTCATGTACACAGGACAACACCATTGATTTTCTGGAGTATGTGGCAGCCTTGAACTTAGTCCTGAGGGGTAAACTGGAACATAAGCTCAAATGGACATTCAAAATGTATGATAAAGATGGAAGCGGATGCATTGATAAAACAGAGCTTCTTGAAATTGTGGAGGTAATATTGACTATCATGCAGTAACTATATGCAACTATTGATCTGTAAAGCTTTCAAAACATGTGGAAGAATATTTCAAGATAATACATTTTTGTCAATGTAAGAGTCATTCTGACATACTTTCCTTTCACTCTCAGTCCATCTATCGACTGAAGAAAGCCTGCCATGGAGAGCTGGATGAAGAATGCAATCTGCTGACCCCAGACCAAGTGGTTGACCGGATATTTGAGCTTGTTGATGAAAATGGAGATGGTGAGTTATTGCAACAGTTTTATGACAGCTTTAAATGCCTTATGAATAATGCAAAAGAATAATGTGTCAAGCTGCTGTACTGGCATTGTGGAGCGTTAATGCTAAAGTGTGCATGTGGTCATTGTTGTTTGTGTATATTAAAAAGGAAAGGTGTGTCTCAGCTGTACAGTGGTACTCACCTTATTAAAATTAATGAATTCAGGAATGAAGAAATGTATAGTAAAATAAAACCTAGAGAATAACCGTCTCTCGTCACGCAGGGGAGCTCTCGCTGGATGAGTTTATTGATGGAGCACGGAAGGACAAGTGGGTGATGAAGATGCTGCAGATGGATGTCAACCCTGGGGACTGGATGAATGATCGGAGAAGCAGTGCTGACTTCTAAGGCTGGAACATGGACTGTCAATATGTCACATACACACATCCTTCATGTGTGATTTTGTATCTACTGCAGTTTATATGTATATAAAAGAAGAAAACACCACAGAGATTCTGCCATTGTACTGCTATATTTTGCTTACAAAGTGGCTACCTGTTTATTACTTTTGGTTCAGGTTTCACACTACAACAGTAGTTTTAAACTTATTTATAGCAATCTTTGGACTAGGTCTGGTTATACACCTGTATCTTATAGACGCTGCAGACATACGGTGCTTACTTATATTTTCTTTTTGTTTCATAAAATGGATTAAATAAACATATTTAAGCCCCTACATAACCATTGTCCACCATAGAGAGGTGCTTTCACTTATTTAGGATGATTATAGCTCTTATCAGGGTTGTGTGGGGCTGTGTGCAGACTGAGATTGATTGACATTTCCGTCAGTTATGTTACACCTGTTAGGGTGGGACAATGGTCTGGTTGCACAGCTGACATTTTAACGTGTCAAAGACACACGTGAACCAACATGCACAATAGCAGGACCTCCCCTGCAGAATGAAGTGGAATGCAGCTGTCATTAATACGCCTGTGTTTCCTGCTAAGGCGTGTCAAAATGTATGCTGTGCAACCAGTCTATTAATAACTTTAAGATTTTTATTGGTGCACTCAGTTTGGTCACATAGTCTCCTCACAGCTCAGCCCAACTTCAGCCCGAACAGAGATGAAACAGGATTTAAACAAAAACATCTGAGAGCATTTGTGGGATCTTTAAAAACAATAAACACAATTAAGAAAAAAATAAATTGTCTGACTGTTTTTAAAAAAAATAAATCTGATATATTCAGTAAGTAAACTGTGCATTAATTTAAGAATTGTAAATAGTATCATTTCAAAAGTAACTACAGTCATAGATATGACATTTGAAAACTACTTAATTGCAAGAATCTAAAAATAGGAGGTGGGGTGGGTTTCAGTTTTTTTAATAAATATTCTTATTGAAGTTTTATACAAATAGGTAGTTAAATTACGGATTTTAGTGTAATTTCTACACAATATGACCTGGAAAGCAGAGCAACATGAAACAGAAAATATAAACCACTTCACAAAGTCTCATATTTTCTCGCGAGAGGACAGACGGGTTTCGTGGCAAGCTTCCTCCTTGCTGACAAAGAGACGAGCCTACTGAGCTATCACTTCCTTCAAATAACACTAAGACGCCCACCTGCAGTCAACTGTTTGTAAGTTATACGAGAACCTTTACTGTCGCGTGATAAGTCAACTAACACGTCTTGTAGCTGAAGCTGAATGCCGATAATCCTGCGTTGTTTTAATGTGAGTTCACGACTGTACAAACCTAATAAACTCCCCGGACAAGTGCTCTACAATCAATCAATGTCGTCTGAACTTAAGAAACCAGTCGGCACCATCAAAATTAAGGTAAAGCTTACATTCAGAGGAAAAAAAATAATTTGGTGTTGGTTTTTCATGTGTTTAAAGAGGTGTTTCTGTCATAGTTTGCCTTCCAGTACACCAATGTTGTTTCATATTTGTTCTGCTTCCTCACACGATGTAATGCTGCCCCCTCCTGGCCAGCCTGCAAAAGACAGCTGGAGACTGAATTATGTCACTGGGAACCTGTTCTCCTGTCCTGAAGACGAGGCTTTGGCCCACTGCATCAGTGAGGACTGCCGCATGGGGGCAGGCATAGCTGTGACGTTCAAGCAAAGGTTCAAAGGGGTAGATGAGTTAAAGGGACAGAGTGAGTCAGACCTTTTATTAAAAATTAAGCTGGAGGGAAAATGTCTTATTTCAATATGGCAATGTGCAATATCCAAATCAGAAAAACGTGTGCCAAGACAGCATCGCACTGAAGTTCTGTGGTGCTGCACAGATGCCCTGGCCTACATATATTTTTCTCCAGATGTCAGGAAACATGTTTGTTTGATTAAAAAATATAAAAATAAGTAAAAAATAAATGTGATTTTTTTTTTTAAGCATCCCATCACATGAAAATATCCTTTATGTTTAACCATTTTGTACACATTTACACACATCTGTCAGTTAGGACAATCCTTTGCTGCACAGCATGGATATATAATGACTTGTTCACCAGTGGGTCAGTGAGGTTTAAGGGGTTTCAAAAACCATTATCTTTGGGGTTTGTCTCTTATTCTAATGTGGATGTTGTCTTCTTATATCCAAACAGAAAAGCTGACGGGACAGTGTGCTGTACTGAAAAGAGACAGACGTTTTATCTACTATCTGGTAAAGCTATAATAGTTTATTTTAATTGTTCCCTATGCAAATTTTCAACAAATGTTGTAATTAATCTTTTTGTTGTTGCCTTCCTGTTGTTATATTGCAGATCACAAAGAAAAAGGCCAGTCAGAAACCGACCTATGAAAGCCTAAAAAAGAGCCTTGAGTACATGAGGTCACACTGTGTACTGAATGGAGTAACAAGAGTATCAATGCCTCGGTTTGTAGCATTTCCAGTCATTTAGTAATACCTCATTAAATCATGTTCAAGAGAGAAATACTCATTTGCTCAATGAATTCAATTAATCTTAAACAGGACAAGATTTGGGTTGGTTCTGTCACTCTTAACAGTTGACCATTATGGTTTTCTCTCTCTGTCTGACAGTATTGGCTGTGGCCTGGATCGTCTGAGGTGGGAAAAAGTGTCGGTGATACTGGAACAGGTGTTCAAACTTGCAAACATCTCCATCACAGTCTACAGCCTCCCTGAGAAAGCAGAGACCACAGCAATGAAGGAAAACATGCGCAGATAATTGATGGAAAAGTTTCTTTATTTTAATATTAAAGTTTGTGTACTTTTCTGTATTATTCCCACAGTATGGGGCCATGATGATATTTTTTTTTCAGTGAAAAATGTTATGTCATAATTACATGGAAATAAAGGTTCTTTTTTGCACAGGAAAGTCAACCGAACCCTTATGAACTTCTGTACATAAATGATACATAGCACATATTTCCACTGATTATTACTATCTCCAGTCACTTCTACATCACCAGCTATTAAGCTATATGCTTCCTAAACATGCTCATCTAGATTTATCATTACATCCAGATGTCCCATCTGATTCAACATATTGTACCAGCACACTGAGCCTAAAATATCAGGTATCTCTTTATTTTCCCATTCATCCTCCCGGCAATTACATTGTTGATTGAGACAACATTGTATTTGCATTTCTTTGTGGGCATCATATAACTTTTAGAGTGCTCATTGTAGCCTCTGCAGATGGTTTAGAGGTATTGTGTGATCCATTATTGATCTGCTGGGGGTATTGTACTTTAATGCAGCTGGGACATATTGGAGGTACCAGATGTGAGTCAAAAGAAAGACGGACGGGAAACCTGACACCAGAAAGTCAATCCCACACACCCATTTTCTGTAGGATGGGAATGCCTTTATACATATTGTGGAACTGAAGTAGGAAGCAGAGAGCTAATGACACGCAATCTCCATTTAAAGCAGTCTATTACATGAATTCGATTAAACACTCTAACTAAAGGGGGCTCCATTTAATATTTTGATGACATGTACTCACTGTATGTGAGTAATAAAAATAAACCTCAGTAGCAGTGAGACTGTCTGAACAGACTCTGTAGTTTGCTTCCTGTGACCCTCCCACTCTCCTCTGGGGCACCTTCAATAATTCATGAGGAGAAGGCATTAACCGCTGTACACTGCGGCTGCCTGCCCATTTCCCCCCCATATATCCTGTCTGGCTGGAAGACTGTACTTCGGCATCACTGCAACCAACCCCCACTCTCCTCCTCCTCATCCTCCCTTCCCATCCCCCTTCTTGCCTGGCAATTAGACTCCACACTGCAGCAGAGCCACCTAGCCGCGCTGCAGTGAGTGCACGGAAATCTCCCTATATCTGACCTGCTGTCACACCTTTAACATGCTGCAGCTCGTGGGACCGTGCACCCAAATTTCCCCTAACCCCCCCCACTGAACAGCCCCTGTCTCTTTGTTCCCATGCAGCTCCTGCTTGTCCCACTGCGGTCCACTGATTCCCCCGCTGATGCTCTCCCCCATTCTCACTCTTTTCTCTACCAGATACTCCCCCCCCCCTTTCTGTCCTCCATTCCTTTTTTTTTCTTTGCCCGATGCGTATGAAATTGCGGAGCTCAGCATTCTTCTCCACTGGCACTTAAAAAAAAAAAAAAGAGAGATGAGCTGGGCGGGAAGGGCTTCTGGTGCACCACATAACTGGCCACCTTCCAATTAAAGAAGAGAGCTTATGTTATTGAAGAGCAGCTTAGCCAATCAGGAGGCAGTGCAGGCAAAGGCAGCAGGAAAAAAGCAGCAGTGCGAGTGGGCAAGAGGAAGAAAAAAAACTGCAGTGTGTGAGTGTGTGTAGTTTTTATCCCTCCCCTGAGCAGATCTTTATCAATTTGTGTACTCCTGTCTTGGGGTGCATTTGAATGGGTATCTCTGTGTGTATATGTGGCAGAGTTTATAGGAGGACAGAGTAAAGGTGTGTCTAGAGGGCTGTGTAAGACTCCTGACTTATTCATTCTGAAACTGGAAATAAGAGAAAGTAAGAGAAGATTGATTATTTTTCTCTCTATCTCAAAGTGTCTCGGAGCCTGTGGAGAAGGGGAAGAGCTTGGTGTCCAGAGGAGAGGAACCTGCACAAAAAGGTAAGCAGCTGCGTTCTCCTACTACAGGCATGCTGGGTTTCTACACTTCTGAAGTTGTTTTTGGGTTGTTGTTTTTTGCTCTTTGTCAGTGTATGTTCTGGCTCCTCTGCCTTCTTTCAGTCCTTCTCATATAATTACATTTAACTATGCACATGGATTTTAACTTTGATGCTTTTTTTTTGCATTATAAGGACATGAGAGAAAGCAGAGGGAAAGGGAGAGGAAGAGAGAGAGGGAGGGGGAAGGTTAGTGCGGGACTCCCTGATGCTTCTAGGCAAGTTTCTGTGCACACGGTTCTCTAGTGCTGCAGTATCCCATTACATCCCTGAGCGGAGCTGCTTCAGCATCCAGCCAGTTCCAGGCAGAGCTGCTCAAAGCATCTACCAGCTTTCCAAAATAACAGTTTTAACTTATATATTATCCCTGGTTGGGATAAGAGTAAAGTTTTGTCCCTCATACTGTAAATTCAGTGCACACTGATAAGCTCTCTGCTGCAGCCCGTTTTAGTTCTGTCGTGCATGCTCTCATTGTGTATTCAGGGTGCCATTGGGGTTGCTTAGATAACAGATTGAATTGGCTCTGATAGTGTTGGAGCATGGTGATGAGTTTTTGTTTTGTTTATCTGGTGTTCTGGGACTTCCTTCAGTCAGAGCCTGCAGCAAAAGTATGCTCTCTGATTGGGTAAACTAGGCTTACTGACTACAGTGTACCAAAGAAGCGGAAAAAATAGTATTATCATGTCTTTGTGCCTTCACTGGAGTATTTATGCACCTAAGATATAGTTTATCATTACTGTTTAATGAGCTCAAACAGCAGAGGAAAGTTAAGCTTTCTTTGTTTGTAGTGAAGGACAGGTGATTCATACTAACACATTTTTTTCCAGTATGCATTCATTATCAGCTTTATTTACGCACATTCACAGTTTATTTAATACATCCCACTGTTGTTTTTTTGGAAGTCTGACCTTCACCATTTGTGAATGAAGATATGATACTGTCCAGCAGTGGGCACTGTGTGTTTTCTCTGTTGAAAATGTGTGAACACTGGCCTGCTGCAGAATGGGAGGAAATGTGGATGGACTTGGTGTGTTTTGTGTGGGCACGCTGAAAAATGTTATTTGACAGGATTAAGAGTACAGTGTGTACTGGTGTTTTCATGTTACTTAGAAGAAAGGCTAATACCTTTTACCCTCGGTTAGTAGATGTAAGCACCTGACATCCATGAACCTGACCCGAATCACTGATCCCAGTAACTGCTTTTAAATAAGGTTTAAATTATTCAACACTGAGTTATATGCAGGGATAAGGAGAGGACTGGGAAGGAAATGATAACTCATTTCAGCACCATGGACAGCTCAGAGCAAAGGCTTTTGATAGGTGCTTCCTTCAAATTCCTTGAAGCAAACCAGTATTTGGTAATGAGGGTTGGATGACAGTTTCAGGCAAAGCTAATCCTTCTAACTATTTCTATTTAGATGACCTAATAAATTGTCAGGCTGTACAAATGTTCTGTCTCCCTATTTGATATGGCAGTTGGCTGTGCCCATCCATTCTTTTGCCTCTTCAGTTGAAGACATGAAGAAAACACATTTTATTATTCATGCACTTCTCCATTTTTAGAACACGGCCCGTCTTAAAGAGAACTATGTTTTTGTAGAGGTGCTGAAAACTCATCTCCTAGCTGTTTCCTTTAAAAAAAAAACCTTGGCCCTTCCTGTTGTTGTCTACCTGTATTATCACTGTATGCTCTGGGTGGGAGTGTCAGTGCTGTGTTTTTGTTCTACCTTTCTTTTCACTGCAAAGCTCAGAGTGACACATCAAACTGTGGGATGAAATTGACTGCAGCACCAAAATCGTTTAGGTTTGACATCTGCTTATTACATGGTTCTATTTGGGTGGTAACACAAAATCAAAAGGATGATATTATTAAAAGAGCAGAAATAATACATTATGTCTGCTGATAGTGGCTAGTAGCCAATTGTGTTTCCCAGAAATCAATTTAAAAACTGTTAAAGAGGTGGTAAAAGACAGCGGTGGCATGTTACATCAGTGAGAAGAAATGTAAAACATATACTGGCTGCAGCCCATACAGTTCAGACACCTGCTGTCACACAAAGCTTTGTTTCATGTCATGGTTGAGAGCAAGCAGGAAAATGTCTCTGCGGGATGCAGCCAGCATACTGAGAAACTCATTGAGATTGCAATGATCAGAAACCTCAGCTCTTTAATGGGAAACGGAAATGAGACCCCTCACTGTTCTCAAGAATTAGCCAGTATCCCTCTTAAAGATAGTAGCAGAGTGTGAGAGATGGAGGAGATTTAACCACTTCTAATTAGATAGAATGACTGGTTTAAACACACAGACTTGTGTCTTGTGATTTAAGTATAATTAAGTGTTGTAGCAGCTTCTTGAATCAGGCTTCACTACATAAACAGCCCCGGCCATGTGCTAAAATTTACTAAAGTAAATGCTAGGTTGGGTTAGCAAGGTACTTTTCAAGGTTTATTTTTTTATCGTCTATTCTTATGTATGTATATAAATAATGTACTGTAACTCTTTCGAAGATTTGTGGGCGTTTTGTAGGAAAGGAGCAGCTGTTGGGCTTGTCATTGCTTATCCTCCGTGTATGACACCCTCTGTCCCAGACTGTGCGACATGGGCGTTTAGTTTGCCCCTATAAATGATGGTGTATGCAACATAGCGGAGCAACAACGGCTGTCACTGTGACATACTACAGTTAGCAACAATCCCCAAACTCTTCATGTCAGGACAAGGAGAGGTGCTTTAAAAACTCAAAACTCTTGCCTAGGCTGCACAGATGAAACACTGCAGATGTTGAAGGTGAGCAGACCCTCTTGGGGATACTACAATGACACTGTGATGAATACAGTGAAGTGTCGGAAGGACAGTGTGTGTGCCCTCTCCATTAGCAGGAAGAGTGCACTTTATCATAGTCTCCAAGGAAAGGTTACAGGATGTATTTATGTATGTATTTGTGTATATGTGTTTCTAAGCGTGCATGTCAGTGTGCATGTAAGTGACAGGAGAGCAGGATAGTTTAAAAGAAGAAAATAGGAGTAAGTGTTGGACACATGGACTACAGTCAGCTTGAAGAGTCTGGAGAAAAATTGGCATGAAAAGGACAAAAGCAATGAGAAGACAGTGAGGAGAGGAAAGCAAGACAAATGATAAGTATGGGCGAGAGAGGGTGAGAGATAGAGCGAGAGATTGAGAGATTGTCAGAGGCAGAGCAAGAATGGAAGAGAGTGGGTGTGCATAGCAGAGCTACGAGCACTGCAGTACATTGCAGTGCCCAGCCCCCGCTGTGTTCTCTGCTCACCATCCGGTTCCATGCACTGAAAAGACCCCTGCAGCAGCAGAGCTGCACAGGACAGAGGGCTGCCTGCTGATGAACAGCAACCTCACAAAGAGCTTTTTGACCCGCCATTGTGCATTCTGAACGTCTGATGATGCACGTTTTTTTCGGAAACACGGTGTTCACGACAAAACAGCCGACCAGCGCCTGCCAGCGCATTGTCATGTAGGGAGGGGGAGTAGTCAATTCACGCTCCCCGTGGATTATGTAAGCATATAACACACTCACTCTACCCGATACCAGCTGAATCATACCACCTTCCCTGGCCATATTTCCCTCATTAGGAACATCTGCCTCAATGTTTGCTTTTGTTCCAGAGGTAGCATCTTTGCAAACATAGACACTTTATTGAACTTATTGAAATGGCAACAATAGGGAGACAAACAGCATATGCCCTTAAATAGCTGGTGTTTGTATACCTGTGGTTTTGTTGATGATGCCCTATGTGGTGAGAAAGAAATAATGATCCCATGAATAACTGCTGAGACCTTCCTCTGATGTGAGCTTACCTTAAGGAAAAAATGCTATTTATTCAGTTTAAAGTCAGGCCGTGTGCAGTATGCATGAATGACTCACACAGGGTAGCCTCACACTTAAGTTCTGTTAGATTCATTATACAGCTTTTGGCCGGGCAAGCAGTACTCTCTCTCTCTTTCACACACAAACAGATACACGCGAGGACACAGACACATGCATGCAGATGTGAGATGAATCTTAATCATGGAAATGAAGGAGAAGCTTGTTTCTGCTTCCATAAACAGTTGCTACGTTTCCATCCCACTGCCTGCCTGGGGGGTGGACGGCCGAAGCGTGAGAGCTTCCCTCTTTGTATGTTCCTCTGGTTTCCCTCTGCTTTGCTGATGTAGCTGATTCACATTGCGTAAGCGTGGACTCCTGTGACAAGGTCTGATTGTGTCTCTCGCTGTGTTCAGGAGTAGTTGAGTCAATTACACCTTGCCAGACAGGTGTTTGAGCTGCTAAGTGCGTTTGCCTCGGCACATCAGACTGTGTTTGCTTCTGATTTGCAATGGAATCAGCACCAGGCTTTGAAAAAAAAACGATAAGGCAAACATATGTGCTGGTAGTGAGTCACGCTGCAACTATGGATAGTAATCCAACTTGTAATCAATGCAAATGAATTCATTCACATTAAATATATCAGATGTTCTGATACTGGGGAAACATATGTTAACATTACAATGACATTTTTATGTAGGTCATCAGGTGCATTACACTGAAAGCAGTGGTTTAGAAATAGATTTAATATGTTATTAACATGTGTAGTGATTTTTTTCCTTCAGTAAAAAAAGTGAGAGGACATCCAACCTTTAAAAAAACAAAGAGAGAATTGCTACAGTCGTGTCTTTAGTCCTTGCAACAGTGCACTATTCACAAGGTGATGCTTGGCGGAAAATGCCCTCTTTGACTATGGATACTTGAAAATGTAGACTTGAAGGGAAAAAGGGAGAAACACTCTGTGGTCTGTGACAGAGACAGAGAGAGTGGGAGCAAGCGGTAGTGTATTGTAGTGTGGGTGAGCTGCAGCAGGGATTCGGAGTGCTGCATTGAGCTGCATAATTAATGTTAAGAGGGTGGAGCCAAAGGCGGAGATAACTTGCCATGA